ACATACACAATAGATACATGAAACTCCCAAAATCACATTTCTAGTGAAACATTCTATAATAACAGTAAAGAAGCAGGTGGCATGGGCCCTGGATCTGGTTCTGCCCCTCCCCTACTGGCCGGGGAGGGAACATCCGGCAGTTTCCAGGGGTGCCATGTCTTGTGGCCCGGTATTGTGCCGGAAGGCCCCCCCTTTGGACTCCTCAGGTATTGGTCAGCAGTGGGCTGATCGATCTTGATCCAGAACCCATGCCTAACAGCCAACCCTGTGTTCCTGTAATCAATAAATTAAGTTGTGGCCATTTTTACTCCATCTATGTGTCCGTGTCATCTCTGGTTCTGTGGGCAGGAGGAGTGTCACCCATCCACACGCAATTGTGTTATAATGGAAATAGGCCTAAACTTGTATAAACATTTTGTGGAGGCTCTTGTGACCCCCTGAGTGGAGTTCAAGGTATCTCCTGCAATCTGTTGGTTGCGCTTTCCTAACCCTCTGGTTTAGGACAGAGCTAGGAACCCTCTTGAATATATTTATAATTCCCCGTCATGCAAATATCTTCTCTGGTTTGGCTAGAATGTCACATCTTTCTCATGATGAAACTAACTTTGAAGGAAGCCAATAGGCAGGAATAAATTTACATGAGAGGCTCCGTCCTTAACCTATCTGGAATTTAAGAAAGAAGCAGCAGGAAGCTGGCTGTTAATTGTCTGTTTGCTTTAGAAAGTCAGTGTTGTCAAAAGAGCTCACAATGATCTCAGCTCATTTTTTCCTTGTGCTTCTGACTTGCATTTCAGGTAAGTGCTTTGAAAAGATTCGGTCTACATAAACCTGCGGGTTAAGCCACAAACGATTCCTGTTCTTTTGAAACAAAGCCATCCTGTATCCAAAGCAACCGATCGTTCTTTAACTTCCACAGCTTATTTATTTATTTATTTATTTATTTATTTATTTATTATATTTCTATCTTGCCTTTCTCAGCCCCATGGCAACTCAAGCTTCACCCTTTGGGAGTCTGGGATTTGTAGTTTGGTAAAGGGTTACTCTGAATTCTCGGGGGATGTAACTCAGAAGGCAGCATCTCACCAAAGGATGAATCCTAGAATTCAAGAGCAAAGAGCTATGGCAGTGAAAATGGCATCAATGTGCTACCATTTTGCAGTGCGGATACACCCAATTTCTTTTGTTTTTGTTGTTGGTTGGTTTCTTTTCTAGAAGGTGTCATTTCGCAGCAGCCAATGACTCAATCTGCTTCAGAGTCTGCACCTCTGGGGCAAACGGCGGTCCTCTCCTGTACAGCATTATTAGCTGGCTCCAACAGAGATCAGGGCAGCCTCCTCGCTTTGCGCATTGTAATGTCTGTACCAGAGGAGACGGGATCCCAGACCGTTTCACAACTTCTCTGTCTGGGAGGACAGGCTACTTAACCATCAACAATGTTCAGGATGAAGACGAGGCTGTTTATTACTGTTACACCTGGTTTTCTAGCATTAACTCATGGCACAGGGTGAAACTCCAATGAGGAACCTTGACAAAAACGTCACTCTTGCAAAATAGAATTCAAGCTCCCACCAGTATTGTAAGGGGTCTTCTAAAAATATCATTACACCATCAGCAATATCTTTCAACTTGTAGCTTTGACCTTTTATCACCAGTTGTGAAAGAGGAAGGCCTTGTCTTGTCTTTTTCTGAATTTTACATGGATGTGTTATTTCCTCATTAATCAAAATTTAATGGGGTTGTGCATTCAGGATAAACCTTGACCCATTTTGTGTCCCGGCTTTCGGTGGGGGCCCCAATCTATTTTTTGGGAGCCTTCCAAAATCAGGAGGGCAGATATCTTTTGCTCTGGGGTGTCGAAAGATCGGTTTTCTACTACACCACGCCAGCTAGCCATGAACTCTCTAAGGCGTTTTAAGAAGGCTTCCTACTTCTAGGTAAGAAAGAGTGATGACCTCCTGGAAGAGGATAGTAGTTTTCAGGGAATGAGGGTTTACTTTTTGTTTGTTGAGGGATTAATAAAAAAGATTAAACTGTGATGCCAAAAAGCAGGCCAGGAGCTGGGACCGACTCCCGCTTGCTTTCGTGTCAAGCTGATTTTTGTGTCAAGCTGATTTTCTCACAAAAGCACTACAAAGTGCAGCACACATAAAATACACAATATATAACCATATAAAACAATGACAATATAAATTTACACAATATTTTTTACATAAAATATCACATAAACCCTTATAAATAAGACTTAAAATTCCATAAAATGCAGCAGTGCTTGCAGATATAAAATAGGCTCTATTCAAGTATCAATCCAAAGTGCCGGAGTCAAACAAATCACTAAGTTCTTTAGTTTAACCATTAAAATTCTAATCAAGGTCAAAGGCCCATTTAAAGAGCCATGTTTTCAGATTTGACCGAAAAACTTAGTGAGTGGGGGCTAGCCTAATCTCTCTAGGGAGGGCATTCCAGAGCCAGGGGGCGCGGGCACCGCCGAGAGGGCCCTCTCTCTTGTCCCCACCAACCACGCTTGAGATGGAGGAGGGACTGAGAGGAGGGCCTCCCAGCAGATCTTAGAGCCTATGTCGATTCATAGAAAGAGATGTAGTCCTGAAGATAGGTTGGACCCGAAGCATATAGGGCTTTATAGGTAATAACCCGCATTTTGAATTGGGCCCATAAACCTGTGGACAGCCAGTGGAGCTGCTTTAATAGGGGCATGGCATGCTCCCTATAGTTAGCCCCAGTTAGTAATCTGGCAGCCAATCTTTGTACTAATGGTCGTTTCCAAGCCGTATTTAAAGGCAGCCCCACATAGAGTGTATTATAGTAGTCCATTCTAAATGTAACTAAGGCGTGGACCACTGTGACCAAGTCAGGCTTTTCAAGGTACGGTCACAGATGACGCACAAGTTTTAACTGTGTGAAGGCCCTTCCAGCCACCGCTGACACCTGATCTGCAAGCATCAGCACTGAATCCAGAGGACCCTCAGACTGTGGACGTGTGTTCTCAGGGGGAGTGTAACCCTTTAGAGCACAGGTTGCCACCCTATACCCCGATCGGCCTCACGACTGACCAGGATGACCTCTGTCTTGTCTGGATCAAGCCTCAGCTTGTTGGCCGCCATCCAGTCCATTACAGCTGCCAGGCAATGGTCCAGAATCCAGGGAGATTCCTTGGAATGAGCTGGAAAAGAGTAGTAGAGTTGTGTGTCATCTGTGTGTATTTATCAAACAAGAAATGATACATAGGTCAACTAGAGAGCATGTGAAGGAGATTTTCCCCCCCTGGATGATCTTCCAGTGGAAGTTGACCAAAGAGTTGCACTGGAGGACCTAGAGATTTTCAGAGACAACCTATTAACCAAATTTGCAAAAGTCAAACCCAGTAATGTGGAAGGCTAACTTTATCTTTTTTCCAATGAGTCATGTCATCTCATTCTGTTGAAATTAAATGGATTTCACACCATTCAACACTTGGTCAACACTACTCTACTCTAGATGGATCAGCTAGGGGCTTCCAGCCATCATTTTCTAAGTTAGACACCACTCCACCTTTTTTAAAATCTAGGGCCAAGCCAGGAGACTTCCCCTTCTCTTTTGATTTTTAAATTCATGCAAATGTCTTCTTGATTTATCAGCCAGCCTGCAGAACATTCAATTATGTCTCCTTGGAAGAGGAGCAACCATTGGAATTCATGCAAATAAATTTACACTGGGGAGTCTTCCTTCTGGATTTAAAAGAAGAGGAGGAAAAGCTTCAAGAGCAATTTTGTGTCCAGTGCCCAAACTCTTTCTGAGACTGCACCATGGTCTGGCCTCTGTATCTCTTTCCATTTCTTGGCTACCTCTCAGGTAAGGACTAGGAAGTCACTTCAAATAAAACCATGGAGCAAAACGATCGAGCTCTCCTAGCACCCAATGCATTGTATTCAAGTTCTGTTTATTGTTTTTTCTTCTTCCAAAGGTGTTAATTCACAGCCAACTTTGACTCAACCAGCCTCGGTGTCTGTGTCTCTAGGAGACACCACTAAACTCTCGTGCAGTGTCAGCAGTAACATCTACAATGTCGCTTGGTATCAGCAGACTCCAGCCAAGGCCCTCGCTATGTGCAAGCTGATGGTTACAGCAGGGGACCAGGGATCCCAGATCGATTCACTGCTTCCCGCACGGGGAACATGGGATATTTAACCATTACCAATGTTCAGGCTGAAGATGAGGCTGATTATTACTGTGGAATGTGGTACAGCAGTGGGAGCGTGTTGCACAGTGGCCCAGCTGGATGGGGAAGTGAGACAAATACACCCAACTGTTTCTCATTGGAGAGAAGAATCTCCACCTTGCCTCACTTGATTCATTCATCTGATTCATAGGGCTTCATAATCTGAGTTTTCTGTTTTCAACCATTTGCTAACCATGGCTAGGAAGATACCTTTTCAGGTCACATAAAGCAGGTTGCAGATTCATGTGCTGTGGAGCAAACAGCTCCTAGAAGATCAACAGTGCCCATCCTCATCTGAAGGGCTGCTTAGCTGAAGTGCCACAAAATTATCTCATGAATTGTTTGGTTGGAGTAGAAAGAAGCAACTTACCCTTTACTTCTTCTACACCTTTAGGACTTTCTTGCACAAACATACTATTCCACAGCATGATAGCAGATACTCACTAGGTTGAGCAGCAAATAACAACAGCAATACACTTGCAACTGTTATGCTCTTTGAGCATAAAAGCTGAAGCACTAATGGTGTTAATGTTCATGTTAAGCAGAGCTGATATGATGCCTGCTAGCCCAGCTATGGCCTTTTGGGGAGGCTCTTGGCATGTCTTCCTTCATTTGGTAGAATTGGATGATTTCAGGGAGGCTTTGTGGTCCTGCACCTGTGAAGAGAACCAGGGGAACACTCAGTATACATGGCTACTCTTCTGGCACTTCCTCTTCCTCTGAGTGAAAATCCATGGCTGGGGCAGCACTCTTCAGCATGTTTATCAGACTACTAAACAAAGCTGGCTTTGATTTTATAACTCAAACTATAATTTAGGGGTTGAAGGAATATTAATAGTTATTACTTATGCATTCCCAGGTCAGGAAACAGGAAACCCTGTAGGGAACAAGAAGAAGAAGGGGAGAAAGTATGACCAAGAGAGGAAGGAGACAAGACCTGTGAAAATTCCTTTCTTCCTGGTATTTGTATGTCCCATAGTGCTGTGGAAGAAATATTCTGTAGAGAAAAATATGTGGAGGTTGTGCATGAAAGTATTTTTGCATAGAAAACACTATTTTCTATGCAGCATAGAAAACAGGAGAGGGAATTGAACAACAACATCAAAAGCATGTTTTTTTCTCTCTGTAAAATATTTCCTTAATACTAATTTGGGACATTTGAATATGAGGACAATGTTGTAGAGGAAGATTTATATTCTTCCTCTAATCTTTTATGCATGAACAAAATAGCCAAGGATTTATTGTGTCCCATTGCCAGGACCAACAAACAAATGCTATGGCTCCAGTAAGAACACCCTCTTCAACAACAAGCAAGCTCTGGCTACATTCTATGTTGGACACATAGACCTTAGGAAAGGATTATTTATTTATTTGTTTGTTTGAAGTGCTTCTACCCCGCCCTTCTCAACCCCTTAGGGGGGACTCAGGGCGGCTTACAAAAGGCACAATTCGATGCCCAACAGTTCACAAAATGCAATATACAAAATACAATATAACGACAACTGTTATAACTAGTTAAAACAATCAAATTAATGCAATAGCAGCAATAAAATCATCTTATGGTCAACGTTCGCCATAAATCCATAATCCATCCAGCATTGTCACTGTCCTTTCCTACTCTGGTCGTCATTGTCTTTTATCCATCTGCCAGCTTACCCAAAGGTCTGGTCCCATATCCAGGTTTTTAACTTCCTTCTGAACGAGAGGAGGGATGTTGATGACCTAATTTCCCCAGGGAGTGCATTCCACAGCCGAGGGGCCACCACCGAGAAGGCCCTGTCCCTCGACCCCACCAGTCTCACTTGTGATAAAGGTGGGGCTGAGAGCTGGGCCTCCCCAGAAGATCTTAAACTCCGAGGTGGGACGTAGAAGGAGATACGTTCGGACAGGTACGCTGGGCCGGAGCCATATAGGGTTTTGTAGGTTAAAACCAGCACTTTGAATTGTGTGTGATTACCACATATGCATTAGATACTGGACATGCAATTGTCATTGTTCGCAGAACTTTGGAGTTCTATAAAATAATGTTTCTTGGAATAAATATTTATGTATCTCACCCAAGGCTGTGAGTAGGTTGAAGTGAAAGCAGTCCTGGGGCATGGGGGACCCTTTGGCCAAAGGTATTATTTGTTCTCTGTTTGCCTTCCTGCTCAGTGTCAGGTAGAGTTATGCGCGGAACCATTTTCCTCTGTTTCATCAGTTCTTTTGTTACTTTCATTACCTTCAGGAGCACTTAACAGAAGGTCTCTCCCCCTACGAAAATCAGCTCATGACAAATGCAAGTAGAAGCTGATCCTGGCTCCTTGTCTGCTTTTCGGCATCAAAGTTTAACCTTTTTTATTAATCCCCCAGCAAACCAAAAGAAAACCCTCATTCCCTGACAACTACTACCTGTTACCTCTCCTCTTCCAGGAGGTCATTGCTCTTCCTCACCTGGAAGTGGGAAGCCTCCTTAAAATGCCTTGGAAGAGTGGGTGTCTGCTAGCATGTGCCTACCTGCAGCCAAGCATCTCCCCTAGAGTAAGCAACAGCTTTAATATTAGAACTTGCTTGCCTCCTTTAAATACCTTGGAATGGAAAGAGTGTGTGGCTGCTGGTGTGCACATGTCTCCTCTAGAGTAAGAAACAGCTTTAAGAACATGCTTGCCTCCTTTAAATGCCTTGGAAAGAACATGCGTGTGGCATGCAGGCCCGGCAGAGAAAGTGGGCGTGCCTGTCGCAGCCTGTGATAGGTTTGCCTTAGAGTCGCCATAGATTGAAAACAACTTGAAGGCACACAACTGGCATTTCCATACATATTGCTTGCATAGCAAATGGCTGAAATTGCCCCATAGTGCTCAGAAAAAACTGGGGTGTGTGCGAGGGCATCTCCACTGCCATTCAGTGGCCAAGGAGAGATTGTTGTGGCCACAGGACCATGGGTTACTTTGAGGTATTCACCAAGAGAGTGGCAGCTTATCAATTTCTGATGTGTCCTTTCTTTAAGTTTTCTTTTGTGAAGTATTCTTTCATGAAGTTATCCGCAACAATCATAAAGTTACAACATAGTTATTGTAAAAAACGGAATTAATCGCAGGCAATGCATTATTTCTATCGAGTCCCTTCTTAGCTGTGGCTTTATTCACCACACAACCAACGGTTCCCCTGCACTGTAGATTTAACACACTTTGACACCGTTTTATCTACCATGGCTCAATGCAATGGAATCCTGGGAACTGTAGTTTTACAGTGTTTAGTAGGCCTGGGTAACAACGGAAAAATTTGTTTCTAAAATCGATTTGTATTTGGGGGGTTTTTTTGTTTCGATATTTAAAATAATTACAAAATTTTCCTTTTAAAAAGTTCGATATTTACGAAATTTCGTAAATGGTAAAAAATTAACGAATCGATTTCCGAAACAATAACGAATCGATTCGTTAATGGCGGACGCGACCGCGAAATACGCTAAAAAACCTCCTAAACCTTCTGAAGCTTCCCTCTCCCTCTGTTGTTGACTGTTGGTGTGATATTATAATTTTTTTTCACTAATTAAACCATAAACTGGCCCAGACATGCGGAAATAATAACGAAACGACCTCAAAACAATAACGAAACGAATACAATATCGAAATACGAAGCATTTACAAAACGTTTTTGAAAATTCGTTTTTTTAATAATTGCTCCAGAATGGTTCGTTATCGTTTTGTAATTGAAAAAATTAACGAATTATTAACGAATTACGAATTAACGAAACGAAACCGCCCAGCCCTAGTGTTTAGCCTTCTCTGCCAAAAAATGCCAATGCCTCACCAAACTTCAAAGCCCAGAATTCCATTATATTCAGCCATGGCAGTTCAAGTGGTATCAAACCACATTAATTTTGCAGTATAGATGTACCTTCCACTGACTTGTACTCCCTGTCTTTCATTTCAGGTGTCGCAGTCCACAACTATGTAGGAAGAAAGCAAAATTGTATGGTCTCAGGAGTAGATGTTGAGACATGTTTCTATAAACTTGTTTGTTATAATAAAATTGAATGCCATTTATTCCTTTTGAATAAATAGTAACTCCATGCAAAGTTCTTCTCTGTCCATTGCTTTAACAAGAGCACCCCATCTGGTCAGAGAAGGAGGGACCCCATTGCTCGATGAAAAAATGAATACATTTGCATAAGGAGCTCTTCTTCAGTTCCTGGAATATTTAAGAAAAAGAAGGAACATCCAACTCATCAGATACCTTCTTTTTTCAGAAAGCCCAAGTCCTTTAGGGATCCCATCATGGCCCAGGCTCTCTGTTTGCTTGTGCTTCTTGGTTACTCCTCAGGTAAGGATGTAGACAATGTCATCCTGGAAAGAGAAGGCTCTTGTGATGTTTGGCATAAGAAAATGACGCACTCATTTTGACTTCTTTTTTCCTTCTTTTGGTCAAGTTGTCACTTCACAGCCCACTTTGACTCAACCTGCCTCTGCGTCGGAGGCCCTGGGTCAAACGGTGAAACTCTCCTGCTCCATCAGCAGTAATCCAAACAGTGTTCGCTGGCTCCAACAGACATCTGGACGGGCTCCTCGCTTTGTACATTGTGATGGCTGCAGTAGAGGACCAGGGATCCCGGATCGATTTACAGGCACCCGATCAGGGAACATGGGATATTTGACCATCACCAACCTTCAGGCTGAAGATGAGGCCATGTATTATTGTTTCATGTGGTACAGCAGTGGCAGCATGTTCCACAGTGTGGAAAGCCTATGAGGAAGTGAGACAAAAACCTTCACTCTTCCTTTGCAGAGCTCTTGAGATTCACTACAACAGAGCTTAGTCAGAGCAAAGGAAAGGCCTCCCTTTATTACTATTGTGAGGGTGTCCTATCACAGCCAGGGCTAAATTTCAGCATGTTCAGAAGACACAGTTGATGAGCTCCTTAGGTAAGAAGCCCATTCCTTGGCTGCTCTGTGGAGAAGGAGACTCCTACAGAAGGCATGTCACTCTCCTTGGGACTGACAGACAACAAAATAGAAGGGCACAATGGATAACAAATCCAGATGGATGGGTGGATGTGTTTGTAAATGTGTTTCAAATCAATTTAACTTAACCAGTTGTGCTTAACCATCAATAATCACAACCAGTAGCTTTAGCTAACTTTAGCCAATTGCATTTCTAACCAGCTGTACATGATAATTATGTAAAAGAACTCCCCATACGTCAACAACTCTCACCCTCTGTTTTCCGCTTGCGACATATTAGACCAGGGGTCCTCAAACTAAGGCCCGGGGGCCGGATACGGCCCTTCAAGGTCATTAACCCGGCCCTCGCTCAGGGTCAACCTAAGTCTGAAATGCACACAAAAATAACAATCCTATCTCATCAGCCAAAAGCAGGCCCACCCAAATATGTATTTATTAAAATTGTTCTTCATTTTAATTATTGTATTGTTTTTAAGTGTTTTTTGCACTACAAATAAGATATGTGCACTGTGCATAGGAATTCTTTCATATTTTTTTCAAATTATAATCTGGCCCTCCAACAGTTTGAGGGACTGTGACCTGGCCCTCTGTTTAAAAAGTTTGAGGACTACTGTATTAGACGTTTGTAAATATGCAAATAACTAATAACTAATCTATTATCCCCACATTTTTCCGTTTCCTTCCCTTGTCCCCCCACCCAACTCTCCTAGTAAATGTTTAATAAAAATTATTTGGAGATTGTGTTCTTCAAAAAAGCAACAAGCCCCCTTAGCTCTTTTGCAAATGCCTTTCTGTTATCTTCACACAATTAACACTGCTTGGCACACAAACCACACTTTCTGTCCAGGTAGGCATGTTGCCGGGGGGGGGGGGGGGGGGTTTGAGGGGCTTCAACCCCCCCCCCAAATTCTCATGGTGGTCCGCGAGAAGGCCTTACTGGTACATTATTTAAACTGTTATGTTTATTCATATCATGATCTGATCGCCATGCTCAATATATCCCATATGCATGGGGGTATTGGGGTAACGATACAAAATTCGTTATTTTTAGCATTTACGAAGCGATATCAAAACATTTTTTCAAACCCGGAAGGGTTTTAAAATAACGAAGCGGCATCCCCCATCCTTTTAACGAGCTTCCGCCCGTTTCGGAAATGGGATGGAGGATGCTGGTGCCTGGGAGCCAATCCGGCGCTCCCAAGCACCCAAGCAGTGCACCGTGGCTGATTTTGATTGGCCGGGAAGGCCTTTAAAAGCGGCTCCGCGTGGCCGCTTTGCTCATTGTTGCGGAGGCGAGGGAGAAGGGAGGTCCGGGAGGGAGGCTTGCATTGGCTTGCATTGGCTTGCATTGGCTTGCATTGGCTTGCATTGGCTTGCATTGGCTTGGTTGGCTGGCTAAGCTGGATTTCCTTGCATTCTGTTCGTGTTTGCTCTCGATTGGCCTGTCTTTTGGCTGTGTTAGCTGTTCATCAGGGCCATTTTTGGGTTGATTTTCCATTTTTTAATATTTTTAAAAAATACCTGTCTTTTGTTCTTTAAAAAAATACAAAAATATTCTAAAAAAAGAGAAGACTCTTCTGTTGGTGTTTGCTCTCGACTGCCCTGTCTTTTGGCTGTGTTAGCTGTTCATCAGGGCCATTTTTGGGTTGATTTTCCATTTTTGAATATTTTTAAAAAATACCTGTCTTTTATTCTTTAAAAAAATACAAAAAATATTTTAAAAAAGAAAAGACTCTTCTGTTGGTGTGTGCTCTCACTTGCCCTGTCTCGTGGCTGTGTTTGGTCCACATCAGGGCCAGTTTTTGGTTAAGTTTCCATTTTTGAATATTTTTAAAAAATACCTGTCTTTTATTCTTTAAAAAAATACAAAAAATATTCTAAAAAAAGAGAAGACTCTTCTGTTGGTGTTGCTCTCGACTGCCCTGTCTTTTGGCTGTGTTAGCTGTTCATCAGGGCCATTTTTGGGTTGATTTTCCATTTTTGAATATTTTTAAAAAATACCTGTCTTTTATTCTTTAAAAAAATACAAAAATATTCTAAAAAAAGAGAAGACTCTTCTGTTGGTGTTTGCTCTCGACTGCCCTGTCTTTTGGCTGTGTTAGCTGTTCATCAGGGCCATTTTTGGGTTGATTTTCCATTTTTGAATATTTTTAAAAAATACCTGTCTTTTATTCTTTAAAAAAATACAAAAAATATTCTAAAAAAAGAGAAGACTCTTCTGTTGGTGTTTGCTCTCAACTGCCCTGTCTTTTGGCTGTGTTAGCTGTTCATCAGGGCCATTTTTGGGTTGATTTTCCATTTTTGAATATTTTTAAAAAATACCTGTCTTTTATTCTTTAAAAAAATACAAAAAATATTCTAAAAAAAGAAAAGACTCTTCTGTTGGTGTGTGCTCTCACTTGCCCTGTCTCGTGGCTGTGTTAGCTGTTCATCAGGGCCAGTTTTTGGTTAATTTTCCATTTCTGAATATTTTCTAAAAATACCTTTCTTTTATTCTTAAAAAAAACCCAAAAAATACAAAAAAGAAAAGACTCTTCTGTTGCTGTGTGCTCTCGTTTGCCCTGTCTCGTGGCTGTGTTTGGTCCACATCAGTGCCAGTTTTTGGTTAATTTTCCATTTCTGAATATTTTTTAAAAATACCTGTCTTTTATTCTTAAAAAAAAACAAAAAATATTCTAAAAAAAGAAAAGACTCTTCTGTTGGTGTGTGCTCTCATTTGCCCTGTCTCGTGGCTGTGTTTGGTCCACATCAGGGCCATTTTTTGTTTAATTTTCCATTTCTGAATATTTTCTAAAAATACCTGCCTTTTATTCTTTAAAAATACAAAAAATATTCCAAAAAAAGAAAAGACTCTTCTGTTGGTGTGTGCTCTCATTTGCCCTGTCTCGTGGCTGTGTTAGCTCTACATCAGGGCCAGTTTTTGGTTAATTTTCCATTTTTGAATATTTTTAAAAAATACCTGTCTTTTATTCTTTAAAAAAATACAAAAAATATTCCAAAAAAAGAAAAGACTCTTCTGTTGTTGTGTGCTCTCATTTGCCCTGTCTCGTGGCTGTGTTAGCTGTACATCAGGGCCATTTTTGGGTTGATTTTCCATTTTTGAATATTTTTTAAAAATACCTGTCTTTTATTCTTAAAAAAATACAAAAAATATTCTAAAAAAAGAAAAGACTCTTCTGTTGGTGTTTGCTCTCACTTGCCCTGTCTCGTGGCTGTGTTTGGTCCACATCAGGGCCAGTTTTTGGTTAATTTTCCATTTCTGAATATTTTCTAAAAATACCTGTCTTTTATTCTTAAAAAAATACAAAAAATATTCTAAAAAAATAAAAGAGTCTTCGGTGGCTGTGTGTGCGTTTGTCATTTGTGTAGTTCCAACCAGTGCGCTCCTTTTGCCAACACAAAGTGCTACATACACTGCTCGCTCATCATTTGTGTAGTTCCAACCAGTGCGCTCCTTTTGCCAACACAAAGTGCTATAATACAGTGCTCGCTCATTTGTGTAGTTCCAACCAGTGCGCTCCTTTTGCCAACACAAAGTGCTACATACACTGCTCGCTCATCATTTGTGTAGTTCCAACCAGTGCGCTCCTTTTGCCAACACAAAGTGCTATAATACAGTGCTCTCTCATTTGTGTAGTTCCAACCAGTGCGCTCCTTTTGCCAACACAAAGTGCTACATACACTGCTCGCTCATCATTTGTGTAGTTCCAACCAGTGCGCTCCTTTTGCCAACACAAAGTGCTATAATACAGTGCTCTCTCATTTGTGTAGTTCCAACCAGTGCGCTCCTTTTGCCAACACAAAGTGCTACATACACTGCTCGCTCATCATTTGTGTAGTTCCAACCAGTGCGCTCCTTTTGCCAACACAAAGTGCTATAATACAGTGCTCTCTCATTTGTGTAGTTCCAACCAGTGCGCTCCTTTTGCCAACACAAAGTGCTACATACACTGCTCGCTCATCATTTGTGTAGTTCCAACCAGTGCGCTCCTTTTGCCAACACAAAGTGCTATAATACAGTGCTCGCTCATTTGTGTAGTTCCAACCAGTGCGCTCCTTTTGCCAACACAAAGTGCTACATACACTGCTCGCTCATCATTTGTGTAGTTCCAACCAGTGCGCTCCTTTTGCCAACACAAAGTGCTATAATACAGTGCTCGCTCATTTGTGTAGTTCCAACCAGTGCGCTCCTTTTGCCAACACAAAGTGCTATAATACAGTGCTCGCTCATTATTTGTGTAGTTCCAACCAGTGCGCTCCTTTTGCCAACAGTCATTATTTGTGTAGTTCCAACCAGTGTGATGAAACGCTTCCTTCCCGGCTTTTCTAGTCGCAAGGGCCAAGTGCTATCGCGAATACCAAAGAAAGGCAGGGGACTGCAGATGGACACATTGACAAGAAGGGAACATTCAACCGACGAGATGGTTATTGAAACACCCACAGGTGCTTCAACCAGCTTTGAGATGGCAGGACCTCCTCCTTATTCCTCAGTTCGAAAGACTCTACATTCAGATCCTGATGTCCTTCCAAGTACCTCTGATACTACTTGTTATGAAGAGGAGGGCGAGGAGGCGGACGTGTCTGAGGAATGGGAGGAAGGAGACAATATGGAATCTGCTTCCACCACAGGAATTAGTGATCAAGAGGACTGCATGGTGCTGGAGGGCGAGCCACAGAAACAACCAACAATCCCTTCCACAAACACCGACAGTCCAAACACGAGCATGAGTAGTACATCTCAAGTGCGTGGTAGGGGTAGGCCGAGATCGCTCCTATGGGATCATTACG